AATGTCCAAGGACCTGTAGCACTCCTTACCGGACTTCCCATGTGGAGATGTGGGTGCTCGCAATGACTACGGATGGCGCCGCATCAGATATAATCGTTGGATATGGATGTCACCAGCACTCCAGAAACGACAAAATAACAAAAGATTTTAGTGAATCTTCATTTTATTCACTCGAAAGGAATCAAGCGCTTTCGGGGCCGCACAGGGTCCCCTTCATCAGGCTTAAAGTGAACAGTTACAGAGTAATACCATCACCATTATATACACACCTACTGGACTAATTACCACATGGAAACACCCCTTTGACGTCACATGACGTCATGATTCACACCAGAGAAACCGGTAAAACCGGTTATCCTTGCTGCATGTAACATATTCAAATGCACTGTCAGGACACACCACAGTGCAGCATAATCATAATCAAACCAGACCAATACACACCAAGTATATAAACATACAAAGAATGTACCCCGAATGTTCCAAAAATAGGATTGCGTTTCTTGACGTTTTAATTACGGTGACGGACAATGTATTAACTACATCAGTCTTTACTAAATCCACAGTCAGGAACACCATTCTACATTACAATAGCGCGCACCCTCGACAAGCCAGTGGATGTGGTGTACCTGGATTTTGCAAAAGCATTTGACACAGTACCACATAAATCTTAAAGCTCAAGCTTAAATCTATAAGCATAGATGAAAGTAGTGGCGTGCCTCAGGGTTCTGTACTAGGCCCAATACTATTTAACCTGTTTATTAATGATATTGGGGAGGGTGTTTAATAGCCGTATTGCTGTGTTTGCAGATGATACTAAAATTGAGAGGGTAATAGATACGGATTAGACATTACAGCAATAAAAAATAAAACATCAGGTGGTCATAATAAACTGGCCACTCAGTGTACAGTATATGGATATTAATATATATGAATGTTGTACTGTTTATCAAAATGTAATTTATGTTTCTGTCTCCTTCATGTAGTGATGTTAAGGGTATCTTTTCATGTAACCTCCAGATGCTCATAGAGTGCCTTTTATACCTGAGAAATCGGTCTGTAATGGCATGTTACACAGTTGACAGTAGTTTGTAGTTGACAGTCACAGTAATATGCAAAAGTGCAGCTATGAAAAGGTTTTGTACTTAGCAGAGATGGATTATGGAGAATAGCGCCCTATGAAAGGTAGCAGTTTTGGCCTCCTATTCCTTCCACTGACAATGATAAGACTGTAATAGCTCGGAATAGCCACCCCATGGGCTGCCCAAACAGACACCAAGTGCCTTAAGGAGCATCCTTCTTTGTAAAGTGACAGGTAGGTGCACAACTTTTATTGTAGCAACATGAATTTTGTAGCTGGGCCCTCTGGACATCCTCCGAGCCTTAGGCTTGCCTTTTTGATACTCCAGCTTCGGTGAATATTTAAATTCAGTTTGTAAACACCTTTAAAAATAACCTGCGAAGAATAGTGAGTTGTGCTGTGATCTTTGATTGTAAATGTCCCGTAGTTGTAGTATGCTTTTCTTTTGTGGTGCTCAAATGCTTGGTAGTTGCTGCACTTCCACCAACAAGGGATTCCACAGAGGGCAGGAGAGGGCCCTGGAGAGGTTTATTAGAACAAAAAAAATTAGTTTTTTTTATTGGTAAGAATAAAAGCATCAAAGTGCCAAAGTATTTCGGGGCAAATCAGGGCTTAAAAAAATTCACAGTGGTTGCTGAGATTTGGAACATCACCTTTAGGTGTAATTCCAAAGGGGAATCTCTTGGGGAATAGACTGAACATAGGCACATGCAGCAGTCAGCAACTGGGAGCCTCCCATTCTTACTAATAAAAAAACTTCTTTGTTTGGTGGCACCTCCATTTTTTTAAAGATAACCTTTCAGTATAGACATATAGGAGGTGCCACTTGATCTTAAAATTTGGGGTTTTTATTCATATCCTTACTGAGAGTCACTGACCCAGAGCAAGCATGCAGTTCAAAAAGTCACTGGCATACATGTTCTGGATCCCAGAATCACTTAATGAAGAAAGGATAAGGATGACAGGCCCAGAGCTTGCATCTTCATATGCAATCATCAATGAAAGCTACAACATTTCTGTCTGACAGGTTGCCTTTAAGGGGCAGTCCAAAGCCCAACACAGAAGTCCTATTAGAATGTACGATACAATGTATAAATTGTAGTCTTGTAACAATGTCTCCATTCTCTTTTGCCAGGTGCAATGTCACACTTACACAGGATATTGCTGGTGCGTTACACCTGATGGTAAACCTGTCAGTGGCTCCTCTGTGCAGAACAAGACTCCTGTATGTTCAGGTATCGAAGAAAGCCTAGGTAATATCATTACATGGCTGGTAATGTTTAAACTAATCAGGATATCTCTGCTATTGCTGATATATGACATTTTTGTTCAGAATATAATCCTCTTAAACCTATTCATAGCCAGAGGATTCTCACAGTGACAAAATGCCTCAAAACACATTTCTGTAATAGTTGGGTTTTTTGTATATTGTTTATTCATTAGGATCCTGTAAAGGTACACATAGCTATTAGATGACCATAGCCTTATCTGTCGGATGTTGATTATGTGTGTGGGTACGTTCAGACCAGATCAAGCAACCCCAGAAACGGTAATCTGTTTTGGTTGATTTTGACTTCTATTGTTCAATTCAAATTGAAATATGGTTAATATGGTAAACACTTACAGATACAGCGGTTATCTATAAACCCAATGTCAAAATAATTAGTAGATAATATTTTATAGGTAGATACAAATATATGCAAATGTTACATAGTTACATAGCTAGTCAGGTTGAAAAAACACACAAGTCAATCGAGTTCAACCTATAGAGATAAGAGGAAACAAAAGAAATAAGAAAAGCCTAAAACAGAATGCTATGCCCATTGTTATCCACTGTTGATCCAGAGGAAGGCAAAAAAACCTCTCTAAAGTATGGATCAATTTGCTCCAACTGGGGAAAACAAATTCCTTCCTGATCCCATAAGGCAATTGGATATTGCCTGGTTCAACAATCTTTGGTGCTCTATATACCTATAAGAACTCAATATCCAGTAATATTCTGTGCATTTAGGAATACATTCAGATTTTTTTAAACCAGTTAACTGAACTAGCTAGAACTAGCTCCTGGGGAAGTCTATTCCACATTTTCACAGCTCTAACTGTGAATAATCCTTTCCATATGCAAAGGTTAAACCTCTTTTCCTCCAGATGTATAGAGTGCCCTCTCTATTTTGCAGTGACCTTAACGTGAATAATTTGGCACCAAGTTCACTATATGGACCATTTATGTATTTATACATGGTGATCATGTTCCCCCTTAATCAAGAGAACAAATTCAGGTCAGTTAATCTTTCCTCATAGTTGAGCTCCTCCATGCCTCTTCTCCAGTTCTACAACATCCTTTTTGTGAACTGGTGCCCAAAACTGAACTGCATATTCCAGATGAGGTCTTACTAATGCTTTGTACAGTGGCAGGATTATGTCTCTATCTCTGGAGTCTATACCCCTTTTAATCCAAGAATCTTTGTTTGGTGGCACCTCCATTTTTTTAAAGATAACCTTTCAGTATAGACATATAGGAGGTGCCACTTGATCTTAAAATTTGGGGTTTTTATTCATATCCTTACTGAGAGTCACTGACCCAGAGCAAGCATGCAGTTCAAAAAGTCACTGGCATACATGTTCTGGATCCCAGAATCACTTAATGAAGAAAGGATAAGGATGACAGGCCCAGAGCTTGCATCTTCATATGCAATCATCAATGAAAGCTACAACATTTCTGTCTGACAGGTTGCCTTTAAGGGGCAGTCCAAAGCCCAACACAGAAGTCCTATTAGAATGTACGATACAATGTATAAATTGTAGTCTTGTAACAATGTCTCCATTCTCTTTTGCCAGGTGCAATGTCACACTTACACAGGATATTGCTGGTGCGTTACACCTGATGGTAAACCTGTCAGTGGCTCCTCTGTGCAGAACAAGACTCCTGTATGTTCAGGTATCGAAGAAAGCCTAGGTAATATCATTACATGGCTGGTAATGTTTAAACTAATCAGGATATCTCTGCTATTGCTGATATATGACATTTTTGTTCAGAATATAATCCTCTTAAACCTATTCATAGCCAGAGGATTCTCACAGTGACAAAATGCCTCAAAACACATTTCTGTAATAGTTGGGTTTTTTGTATATTGTTTATTCATTAGGATCCTGTAAAGGTACACATAGCTATTAGATGACCATAGCCTTATCTGTCGGATGTTGATTATGTGTGTGGGTACGTTCAGACCAGATCAAGCAACCCCAGAAACGGTAATCTGTTTTGGTTGATTTTGACTTCTATTGTTCAATTCAAATTGAAATATGGTTAATATGGTAAACACTTACAGATACAGCGGTTATCTATAAACCCAATGTCAAAATAATTAGTAGATAATATTTTATAGGTAGATACAAATATATGCAAATGTTACATAGTTACATAGCTAGTCAGGTTGAAAAAACACACAAGTCAATCGAGTTCAACCTATAGAGATAAGAGGAAACAAAAGAAATAAGAAAAGCCTAAAACAGAATGCTATGCCCATTGTTATCCACTGTTGATCCAGAGGAAGGCAAAAAAACCTCTCTAAAGTATGGATCAATTTGCTCCAACTGGGGAAAACAAATTCCTTCCTGATCCCATAAGGCAATTGGATATTGCCTGGTTCAACAATCTTTGGTGCTCTATATACCTATAAGAACTCAATATCCAGTAATATTCTGTGCATTTAGGAATACATTCAGATTTTTTTAAACCAGTTAACTGAACTAGCTAGAACTAGCTCCTGGGGAAGTCTATTCCACATTTTCACAGCTCTAACTGTGAATAATCCTTTCCATATGCAAAGGTTAAACCTCTTTTCCTCCAGATGTATAGAGTGCCCTCTCTATTTTGCAGTGACCTTAACGTGAATAATTTGGCACCAAGTTCACTATATGGACCATTTATGTATTTATACATGGTGATCATGTTCCCCCTTAATCAAGAGAACAAATTCAGGTCAGTTAATCTTTCCTCATAGTTGAGCTCCTCCATGCCTCTTCTCCAGTTCTACAACATCCTTTTTGTGAACTGGTGCCCAAAACTGAACTGCATATTCCAGATGAGGTCTTACTAATGCTTTGTACAGTGGCAGGATTATGTCTCTATCTCTGGAGTCTATACCCCTTTTAATACAAGAAAGTATTTTGCTTGCTTTAGAAACTGCGGCTTGACATTGCATGCTATTATTGAGTCTATGGTCTACCAGTACACCCAGATTTTTCTCCATCATTGACTCCCCCAAACATACTCCCCCTAGAGTAATTGTCCATTTCTTTCTATTAAATTCAAGCTTGGCTATACTTTCTAAACCTCCTTATTGATCTTTTTTCAATACATTTTTTAATTTTTGTTTTACATTATAGTGAAGCATTCAAGTACAGCAGAGGTATACATTCGTAAGTTATGACATAGTATGGTCTATGAAGTTTCTTAACCATTTCTTAACCATTTACACTGTGATCACAGCTGCCAAATAGTGCACTGCTGATGATAACAATGCGTAGCAGTAGCCCGATATTCTGTTTTTCAAACCAAAGATCCAGTGTAACTAAGTAACATCTTGTAATTCGAATCCAACAAAAGTTAAAAAAAATATGAGCATCAAGGCACAAACACATTCCCTCTGCTACCCCAGCCTTGTGTCGGGGGAAGAGGGCCAAGGAGGGGGTAAGGGCAGGATAGAGAGGGGGATAGAGTATAGTAGAGGTTGGAGTAAGGTAAGGTAGGAGTGGTCCATTAATGGTGTACCAGTAAGTGGATGAGCGTCTGTTCTCCAAGATCAGAGTGTCAGCAAACAAGCGTTAAAGGAGTGCGTCCATAGATGTTGGGTCCCAAATCTGCTCAAAGCGCGGGATTTATCGGTCAACCGTGCCATGAGACGTTCGTTAGTGAAGAACCATTGGAGTCTGCGTTCTACTTCCGCAAAAGACAGAGTGGGGGATTGCCATGATTTTGCTACTGTCTGTTTAGCCGCTGTAAGACCATGCAATAATAATTTGTGTTGTTTAGGTGTGACATCTTTGGATTGAGTAGGGCAACCTTTGGATACGGTGTCAGTGTGAGAGCCATAATAGATGAAAGAAAATTAAAAACTTGAGCCCAAAAAGTCTATACTATAGGGCATTGCAACTATACATGTATGTAGGAGCCCACCTCTCCGCATTGTCGGAAGCACAGGCCATCGTGACCCGGAAAAAACGACCGAAGTCTGCTAGGTACCAAGTACCATCGATAGAGGCGTTTGTAATTGGTTTCCAGCGCCTGCATACTCTGAGAGCTAGATTTAGTCACCTTCCAGATGGTTTTCCAGCTATCTGTATCTATGGGGCTTCCGAGGTCTTTCTCCCAAGCTAACGTATACTTATGACAGAGAGGAGCCGTACCTGATAACACTTGGTCGTAGAGTAGGGAGATCAGACCCGGCGCGTAGGGATCATTAGTGCAGGTCCGTTCAAACGAGGTGAATATGGGACCTGTAGGGAATACGGGTGCTTGAGTGGAGATGAAATGCTTGATCTGAAGATAGCGAAAGAGTTCAGTGGCTGGTAATTTATATGAGTCTTGTAATTGTTGAAACGTTTTTGGGCTCGCAGTAGTATACAGTTTGTGTAGATTGGTTGCATCTTCGGATATCCAATGATGGAATGCGAGTAGGGAATCACCGCCAGGGGGAAGGCAGTGTTTTTCAAAAATGAGGAGTGGGCGGTGCGAGGACATCAAATGACTGGAATATTTATGTGCATCCCAAAGACGTAGGGAATGTCCCGTAATCGTATATAGTATTTGTAGTCTATCTTTGGTAAGTTGGCAAAGGAGATTATTAACAGTTAAAGGTCCAGGTCAACCGCTTCTAGAGAAACCCATAGTGGAGGGTCCTTGGTAGCGTGGTATTTCGGTAACACAGCTAGTTGGGCAGTAGTGTAATAGGCAGATATGTGAGGGACTCCCAGGCCTCCTTTCAATTTAGGTGAGAAAAGTGTGCTGCGAAGAATGCGCGGTCGACCCTCCTGCCAGATAAAGTTAGAAATTTGACGCTGCAGGATTCTAAATCTGTGGCGCGGTACTGGGATTGGGAGGAGCCTGAAGAAATAGAGTAATTTTGGCAAATAGGTCATCTTAATGACGGAGATTCTCCCTAGCCAGGATAGAGAGTATTGTGACCATGTACGGAGCAATTGTGTGAGACGAGAAAACAGAGTGGGGTAGTTT